CTCCAATTAGACTATAAATCTCAAGAGACTGTGTTCTCTAAAGATGGAAATATTTTAACATGCTTGATTCCTACTTCAGAAGCCATAACTAAGACTCCAGCCACCTTAATTTATGGGAGCCTATTTTGTTAGTGTTTCTTGATATACCTAAAGATAAATTAAAACATTTTTATACTGAAAGCAACAGTATTGATTAATCAATAAAAAGAAGCTGCTACATCATTTCTATTCAGTCTCATTCTTCACTTCTTCCCCACCAATCTCCTTCAAAGGTTCAGGTGGTGTGCTGGTGGGAGTTACAGGGAGGGAGCACATCATCTCCACCTTTTGTAACTCTCAACTCCCATCAACCTCCTCTTTTATCTAGGAGTAGGGAGGGAGCACATCATCTCCACCTTTTGTAACTCTCAACTCCCATCAACCTCCTCTTTTATCTAGGAGTGGAAAATTAAGCCAATATAAATTTGCCAAAGCTAAAGTAGCAAGTGTTTGTTTTCGATATTCTTCGAGGTTTCCTACTAATCACCAACCTCACCACCTCAACTCCTTAGAGCTCCTTCCTCATCTCCCTGATCACCAACCGCCTAGAAATTAAAACAGTAAACAATGCCCCTGAAAGGTGCCTTCCTGGTGCTGTCTAAAACAAATGCAGTCTTCTGTTTCAGCATTTTAAACACCGAAAGCATTCTTACTTAGATTAAATCACAGGTCTCCCTGGTCTGCAGGCATGCCTCAACATGACCCACAGAGGCAATGAGATCCTTGGAGTTTCTCTAGTAACTGCAGGCCAAATCAACAGCAACCCTAAGAACAAGCATTCTTTCTTTTTTTTTTTTTAATTTTTTTCCCAAACAGAACTAGGCCACACACATTTTTTGCCTTTATTTTACCTTTTTAGCTGTACTAGATACAATGAAGCTGCATTTTAAAAATTACTTCAGGAGACAATGCATCTTGGTGATTTTTATATATGAGGGATTTCTTTAAATTATCTTCGAAGAAAAATTTTAAAAATAGAATTTTCAAGACATCTAAGGCAATCATCACCTTGAATGGCAGCAATCCAGTTCAGGTAAGATTATTTAACATGGAAGTAATGATCAAAAAAAAAAAAAATCAAACAGGAAGAAGCATCAAGTATCAGAGTGGGTAAAAATGACTAACAATTTGAAAGACCAGAACTGCTTTTAGAACTATTTCTTCACAAAATTTACAGGCCTGCGTGTTGTTAGTGGAATGGAGACCATTTCTGATCCCTATTTTACTCATGTATGTGTACCGAAATGAGTGTGGTGATTTACATAGTGTGCTCAAACACTGTGCCCCTCCCAGGTACTGGATGAATGAAGACAAAGTACAGTTATGTGCAGACGATATCTTTTACAAGTTGATTTTACAATTGACATGTTCTTCTTCACTTTGATTTCTTACTCTTGCGGTTCACAGAACAAATTATGCTTCTGGCAAAAAAAAAAAAAATATGCCGTCTTTCATATTCAAAGATAATGCAATCCATGCTTGGGAAGTTCTTGTGTTTTAATAGTTTGACTTTGGAATTCATGTTAAATGAGGATTATTGGCTCCAATTCATGTTGCTAGTGGTATCTGTGAGGCTGTTGGTTGGGTTTAGGAATCAATCTGTAGTTGTGAAGTTTGCTTTAGAGCTAAGGCAGCAGGCCAACGAGTGCTCCTATTATACTGGGTGCACAAAGACCATACTCTAAGGGGACTACTTCCAATTGAGTTCCATAAAGTGTGTAGTGAGAGAATCTGCCTTGTCCTTTCCTGGTTCATTCACTAAAGGAAAGGAGGGGAAAGAGTAACTAGAGGAAACAATTTTAGTAAAGATGACCCAAAAGTCCTCTGTCACTGTCCCCTTTGTCCAACCTACTCCAAATGCACACAAACAAATCCACATCAATCAGATGTGAAAAAATTTTAAGAACAGGAAAATGTTTACTGTGATAAGACATTCTTTCTCAGGCCTTTACAGACCTCACCCTTCATTTCCAAATGTACTCCTGCTTCAAGGCCCGACAAACCTCACCTCCTCCAGGAACCCTCTCTGACCTGTTATTACAGTTCTCATTGACAATTCCCCCTTTATTTTTCTTAGTAAAGTCTATTCCGTTTGGAAATTATATACTTTTAGAATGGTAAATAATGTGTGCTCGTTTTGTGTCACCGCCTAGACTGTTAGAGACGTTAGCATGGACGGTAGAACCGATGGCCTCCAAGCATTGAATATATATAGCAGGTATTTCAGTAAATATGGGCTGGGAGTTGTAATGGTTTTGCCTAAAGCTGACCTTGACAGTACAAAACCAAAACCACCCCATGCTCTCAAAAGGACCACACTTTGATCTAACAAGATCACCTAATTTGGCCCTATCAAAGTCTAGGGTCAAATCCCAGAGGGAAGAAGAGAGCACTGCCTGGTAGGACTGTCAAAGGCAGTCCTGCCAGGCCCATTCCCTTTGGAAAGTTCAAGTTTGTAATCTGAGGCACCTGGGAAGCTGTTTTCTGAGCAGAAGGGGGGCATGAAAACTGGGGAAGGAAGGGGGAGAACTGCTGGGCTTCTTGGGCAATGCCCTCTGGCTATACCCGGGAGAGAAACTTCTCAAGTATCTGTGCCTCCATTGTGGGGGGGGGGGTGTCTTCCCAGGAGGCCCCACCCAGGCCCTCCCTGGGCCCCATCGCGCAGCTTCCTCCCCTCCCCCAGCCCGCCCCGCCCCCCACCTCGCGCCCGCCCCGCCCCCTCGGCCCTCGGGTTCCAAGGGCAGTTGGCCGCGCAGCTACGGTCACTCGGCCAGTCGGAGCTGCGGGGCGCACGGGGTGAAGAGCGGCTCTAGGGTTTGGGCTGGGAGCTGCGAAGTTCTGTGAAGCCGGCCAGGCCGGGCAGAGGGAAGTGGGAGTAGGGTCCGAAGAAGCCAAAGGCGGGGTGCCCGGGAGGTGCAGGAGACCGCGGGAAGGGGAGCCCGGGGGGGCACTCCGGGGCCACCTGGAGTCGGGGGCGCGGCCCTGGGGGGAAGGATGGATGTGGGGGTTGGGGGGGGTCCCTGGACAGCGCCTCCCGCTGGCCGTGTGTTACCCGTGGGGTGCGTGGCCAGCTCCGGGGTGGGGGGGGGGGGACCAGCGCATCCGTAGGGACTCGGTGCCGGTGAACCCTCGCCCTGGGCCGGGGAAACGGGAAGGTGGAGGGGGACCCGACCCCGCGGTCAGGCCGCGTGCTCGGGGATACCATGTCGGCACTGCGGAGCATCCTGGAGCTGCAGGGGCCGGCGCCCGGTGCTCGGTTTGTAGGCAGTGTAATTAGCTGATTGTACTATGGCGCTTGCAATCACTAACTCCACTGCCATCAAAACAAGGCACAGCATCTCCCGCCGCCCCGCCGAGTCTGAGAGCCCCGAGCTGCGCTGGGAGAGCGATGCGTCAGCGATGGTCCGCGAGCACGTTGCCAAAGTGCGAGTAAAAACCCACGGGAACGCGCGGGCGGCTCGCTCCAGACCCGGGGCAATCGGGGGCGCTCTCTAGGAGTCGCTGCAAGACGGTTACAATCTCAGGAAAGCCACCTCAGTGGAGTCGAATGGCTTTAAGATATAAGGGCATTTAAGCTGCTTGGAGAAGCCCCTCGTGTAACAGTGCCGTAGGCTGTGCTTTTATTGTGCCTTATTTCCCATCAACAGTAGGGTAGTCACCAAGCCAGTCACCAAAGTGAATTACAACTTAACCAGTGACTTGCGGGTCACAACGTCCTCGGGCACCAACGGCAAGGTTTTTTTCTGAGTCTAGTTACTAGGCAGTGTAGTTAGCTGATTGCTAGTAGTACCAATCACTAACCACACGGCCAGGTAAAAAGATTGGGATTCATCCAACTGTGTGCAACGTCAGTGGTGGTGGGGGGTGGGGAAGGCTACTGGACTACGCTGGGGTTGATTTATGCATTGCCTGTTTGTCAATTGCTCAGCCAAGAGAAAAATTAGCATTTAGCTGCTCAATATGCCATGTATGTAATATGTATGTGTATTTTTTTCAGTTTTCCTTCAGGCTCTTAACCAAAATGTTTTTTAGATGCTTTACATTGGGAAATAGAATTTTTCCCTTAGTGATTGATCTGCTTGTTATATGGACTTGTGATTATATTATTATTGGACTTTCTGTGACATCATATTGTTATTAACGTTTGGAAATAAAGTTCTCATGGAGATGTCAGTTATGGATATTATTACCTGTCCATTTCTTTCCACAGTTCCGGTCGCGGTAAGCGCGATGGCTGAAATGGTTACACTGTTCCTAGATTAGCAAAATCTCCTTTTTATAAGGATTCACGAACATTTTTCCACTATTTTACATTAAGTAACTCGGTCCACTTATTAGTTATATCCCTTCTTTTAAGTAACCATTTTCAACGGTTGAGCCCCAGACAACTTTTGGTGGGAATGATTAGTGCACGCAGTTACGATTTAAATCCAGCTTGTTTTTTCTAAGATTTTTCATAAAAGATTGGAGGGGAGGGAATCCCAGCCATACGAATAGGTACCTAAAGGCCCAGTTGAAGCCTCTGACTCTCACAGGCAAGGACTTTAACCGCCTGGTTGAATTCCCCAACGCAGGCCTCAGCGCGGAGCCTTGGCGCTTTTGTCTGGAAGGGGGGATTGGAGCTATGGCGCCAACGAATTTAAAATTCACTTTATTCAGCTATCTTTGGGGAGAGGAGAGGTGAGTTAGGATTTTAGAGGCTAACGTGCTCCCCCACTGCCTCCGACAGGCCAGGACAGGACAGGACACGTCGCAAAGCTGATGCTCCAAGGCTTGGACTGGCCCAGAGACCTGAGATGGCTGCAAAAGTGGGCTTCACAGGGGCCACCAGCGTGCGGGGACCCCAACAGCTGCGCCAGTAACTAGGGCTTCCGGCCGGTGGCTGTTGGCACCTCGACGGTTCTCGGAGCCGGGCGGGGCGGGAGAGGAGGAGGGACTTTGGAGAAGCGTCCTGGGTTGCCATGGAAAGCGGGCCCAGAGAACCGCCTAGCAGTGCCCAGGAGTCCCAGGAAATTTCCCCGCCCGGATTCCTGGTGTTCACCGGCTGCCCGGAGCAGGATGTCAGTTTGGCTAAGCAGTTCTGGCTCGGGGCGTCCATGTACCCCCCGACCGAATCCCAGCTGGTGCTGAGCAGAGGCAGCAGTCAGCGTCTGGCGGTGGCTCGACCCTCTAAGATGTCCGTGGTCGGTGAGTCAAGTAGTTGCCTCCTAGCCTTCATTTCTCCTCCATCCTAATCAATCTGGAAGATACCAGACCTCCTTCTGGAAAAACTGCCCAGCCTTATAAAATGCTTTCATCTCAAATGCTTGAAAGGCTTGCACATAGTACTTCATACACAAATACGTATTTTATCTATACACTATATAGTGTACAGATACACCTGAGACGTATATACAAACACATATATAAATAGTTCCTGAACCCTTCCTGTCATCCTTCCACCCAAATAGGTTCAGTGGTATCACTGTTATATCTAAAAATACTTCTTAAGCATCTCAATTTTGGCATCCACTTGACAAACTACAATCTACTTGGGTTATTATGGAATAATCCAAGGAAATGGTATAGCGTTGGCTGAAAAGATATTAAAGATATTAGTATTTGCATAATTGAGTTCAAACTTGAAAGCACTAGAGGAAATGAAAAGCAAGTCAACTTTGGGAACCAAGTTCAAGGACCAGTAAGCCCTTTAGAAAATTGTTACTATGCAATATTTACAGGTATAGAAAATTCAAATACATCTGCTGTTGTGGTCTTTTCCAGTGGTTACTTTACTTTCCTTTTGTATTTTTTTAGAGAAAAATCCTGTCCAGTCTGAGAATAACAGTAAGTACCAAGTTTAATGCCTTTCTGACTCCTAGGTTACTTTACACTTTGATACCACTTTCTGAGTTTCATACCTAAGACCTTGCCTTAGGGACCACACACTATTTATCCAGAGCCCAAACATACATTTCTGTAACAGTTTTATAGAAATGTAGAAATTGGAAACTTTGATTCTACACATCTATTCTCTTCTGAGACCTCTGGTGTCGCCACTCAAGTTTACTCATCAGCTAAAGAGATTAGAGGTTCCCTGGAGCGCCATAGCTAATGAACTCTCCATTTATTTATGACTGGTTAGAAGGTTTCAAGGTACTGTGTGTAGTTGTGTGTACCTTCCTATTCTTTTAGCCCTTCTCCAATTCTGTGTCGATGTTATCATAAAATCACGATAAAATTATTTCAGATTGAATTTGACTTTATTTCCTCTAGAGAATGAAGCTGTCTTTGCTAAAGCCCTGAAGATTCAGGAATCTGAGGAGAAAGAAAAGTATCTCCAAAAGGTAGTAGACTAAATATTTCATGTCTTCTGATTTTCCTTAAATTTCTAAATAATTTTGACTACTTATTTGTTATTTATGTGTTTATTGGTGTTTGTGACATTCTTTTTTTAAACACGTGTATATAAAAATTTGTTCCTGGGCTGGCGAAGAGGCTCAAGTGGTAGAGCACCTGCCTAGAAAGCGTGAGGCCCTGAACTCAAACTGCAGTACCACCAAAAAAGAAAAAAGAAAAAAAAAGATTTGCACCTGGTGTGTCAGCTTATTAGAAAAACCTCTGTAGAATTTTAAGTCAAAAATAAAGAAATTCTATTAAACTTTGGCTATTCTCAGTCTCAGCCAGAATCTGAGAGAAATGAAGATAGATTCACACTTTTCAACCAGGTCCCAAACTACATACAATAATCTAAGAACAAAAATATATAAGAGCAGGAAAATCAAATAGGACTATCTTAATAAGTCAAAATCAAATGATCCCAGGAATGAGTCTGTCATCTAGACCTGTTTTGACTAATGGCTAAAATTGAACACACTGGTGCAGTCGAACCATGTGCTGTGAGCACAGGTCTCTTTTTTGGCAACTTCCCTTGTTTGATCTTCATGACACAGACACAGCCTTTAACTCAGCAGTTAATATGGTGATTTATAGCAACATTGTTTATTCCTGTGAGGTTATAGAAGACTGTTTTGGCCTAATGTCTTTAATCACTGGAGATATTGGCTCACTCTAAAGGATGTATCGGGAATTCCACATAAATTACAGAATGGTACACTTGGATTTGCTGATCACACAAATTCACTTTGTGGACTGCTGATGGTTCCTTCAAAAACTTAGGTGATTAATAACAATTAGCATTTTCTTCTCTTTTTAGGATATTATGTACTGCATATTTATGCCAGGACTGTATAAGAATAAAAAAGCCTAATTTGCAGTGAGTTAAAAACATTAGAAGGCAACTTCTTTTGTACTTTTGGGATTTAATTTTCATTGTATTTCATTTTAGAAAAGGATTAAAAATAAAAGGTTGAAAACAAACTATTAATCAACAAGACAATGATGTCAGTTACAGACAAATATAATCCTAACAGACTGTGATATTAATGATTTTAGAATTGAGCTGGTGTGGTAGCCCATGCCTGTAATACTAGCCAAGCCGGAGGTGGAGGGAGGAGGATCATGGTCAGAGGCCAGCCTCAGGCAAAAGATAGAGACCCTATCTAAATACAAACTAAAGCAAAAAGGACTTGGGGCATGGCTCAAGTGTAGAATGTTTACCTAGCAAGCACAAGGTCCTGAGCTCAAACCCCAGTACCACCAAAATCATTATCATCACCATAATCTTAGAACTGGTTTCCTTGCCTTGGGTCCTTCAATTAATTTATTAACTACTCAATTTATTCCACAGATATTTATTGAGAGTCTGCTATGTGCAAGTACTGTACTAGATGCTGGGCTGCAAAGATAATATGTGGCCCCTGATGTTAAGGAAAATACAATCTGATGGGGGAGACAGCCAATTATAGTCAATAATTATGGTATATTATTATAATAGATAAATACATATAATACTATAAGAACACATTGAAAGGCATAAAAACCAAGCATAAATAATCAAGAAAGCTAGCCAGACACTGGTGGCTCACTCCTGTAATCCTAGCTACTCAGGAGGCTGAGATAAGGAGGCCTGAGGTTGGAAGCCAGCCTGAGCAAATAGTTCTCAAGACCCTATCTCGAAAAATGGCCAACCCTAAAAAGGGCTGGTGGAGAAGCTGAAGTTGTAGAACACCTGCTTAGCAAGCATGAGGCCCTGAGTTTAAACCCCAGTGCTGCCAAAGAAAAAAGTTAAAAAAAAAAATCAAGAAACCTTCCCATGGTGCTCAGTTTGAAGAATGTAGTTTGTCAAAGAATATACAAAGCCATTCTTCAGGATGCACTTCTTATCTTACTAAAATGCTAAGAAGATATTGCTACTCCTCTGTCTTCATTTTTATCCTTCCGCCCCCTCCTCAGTACCCCATTTTGTACAGGATGGAGACCAAACTTCTCAGCATGTCCAGGTTCCTTTCCAACCTGACTGTAACTGGACTGTTCGCCCTAACCACTCTTCCTCTTATGTACTCCCCACACTCTAGATGGTTGGTTCTTAACCACTTTATATTGTTTACCCCTCCTATATGTGCTACTGAAGTGATGAATGGGTAAAATATATTTTTCAATACCTAAATATGCACAGTACCTGCCAAGTTTTGCATTAAGCCAAGGGGTCCTGCAATGCAATATAAAAGATAGTTGTATTTGCTAAGTAGGCGATAAGAGGCCTTACAACCAGTGAGCCAACAGAAACGAAAGAATTAACCAAACAGTGCCTTCTGAGTATGGAGAAAAATTTAGTCAGTACTATGCTGTACAATTCTATTCAAATAATGCTGGAATAGTCAAGTTTCTATTACTATAACAAAATACCTGAGCTAGTTAACTTAAAAAGATGAAAGGAGGCCAGGCATGGTGGCACACACCTGTTTGATCTCAGCTACACAGGAGACGGAAGAGGGAGAATCCTGGTCTGTGACCTGCCCTAGGCAAAAGCAAAACCATATCTGGGTATGGCTCAAGTAGTAGAGCACTTGCCTAGCAAGTGCAAAGCCTGGAGTTCAAACCCTAGTACTCCCAAAGAAAAGGACAGGTTTCTTTTGGCTCACAGTTTTGGAGGTTTCAGTCCATGGTTGGTTAGCTCCATTGCTTTGGGGCCTGTAGCAAGCAGTGCATCACAGCAGAAGCATAACTAGATGCTAGAGAGAGACAGGAAGAGAGTAGGGTCCCACAGTCTCTTCAGGGACATGTCCCCAGTGACCTAAAACTTCACACTATATCCCACCTCTTAAAATTTCCACCACCTCTATGATAATTTAAATATGAAATGTCCCCATAACCTCATGTATCGGCCAGTTGATGGGCTTTTGGGAAGTGATTGGATCGTGAGGGCTCTCACCTAATCAGTGGATGAATCCCTTGATGGATTCATAATATGATGAGGTTATTAGAAGGTGCTGAAAGTAGGAGGTGGGGCCTAGAAGGAGGAAGCAGGTCACTGGAGGTGGGGGTATCCTTCGGGTAATATCTTGCCCTGGCCCTTCCTGTAATCCTGTTCTCTCTGCTTCTGTCCGCCATGATAAAAGCTGTTCTTCTCTGCCATGCCCTCCCCGCCATCATGGACAGAACCCTTTTGCAACCATGAGAAAAAATAAATCCTTCTTCCCTTAAGTTGTTTATGGCAGGTATTTTGGTCACAGCTCTAACTAAATACAACCTCCCCAAAGCACCATGGGTTGGGGACCAAACCTTTAACACATGAGCCTTTGAGAGACATTCCAGACCCAAATTATAGTGAATTCCATGACACAAAAAGGCAGCCAAAGAATCCTGCAATATCTGAATGCTCTCATAGCTGTCCTCAGATGATATTGTGATAGTTTTACAAAAACCAATTTATTGAGTGTGTATTGAGAACTTTGCATTCATCAAGCCACAGACTCCTTAAAATAGCCCCTCATGAATATCACCAGATGATCAAACAGGCTCCACTGATTTTCCAGAGTTCCTCACTGGTGGCAGAGCCTAGATTCAAATTCCTGTATCCTAACTCCAAAATCCATGAGATTAACCTTTTAATAAACTCATCCTATTGCAGTGATATCTGACTGTGGCAATGTTCAGGTATGATCCCAAATATTCTAAAATTCAAAACTATGCCATGAATACAAGTGAGAAACACTGTTTCTGGCCCATGGAACTATAAGCTGCTTCTTCAACCTGCAGTGCACTCCCGTGCCTCGCCTGACCTGCTCCTCCCCATTTACCTTCAAGGCCTGGCTCCCATGCCAGCTTCTGAAAAGCCTTCCCAGAGGTTACCTAGGACTAGCAGAATAAATGGCTCCCTTCTCTGTGCTTGTGGGGCAAGTCACCGATCCTCTCACATAGTACTTTTTACAGTCTCTGATCTAGGCAGTCGTGCCTGCTTCTCTCCTTCTAGATCATAAGCACCATAACATAGTGGACTTTTGAGACAAGAAGTTGGGTTTGCAAGCCTAATTCTGCCACTTACTCTTTGTGTGACTTTGAGGAATATACTTATCCCCTGTGATGCTCAGCTTCCTCAAATGGAAAAGGATAAATGAAGTTTAAAATCTACCTCAAAGTTGATGCAAGGTATGTGAAGCGCTTGGCCATGGTTTGCCCTTACCAGGTGTCCTTTGTAAGGACAGAGTTCATGTCTTACTTGGTTAACCCAATGCCTTTCTGATTACTTAAACTCAAAAAATATTTGTTCATTGAATAACTAAGTGCATAATTGAACTTCTTAATCACTGTTCTATAGTGATACTTCTTTTTCTCTAGTTTTTTTTTCTTTCTTTTTTTTTTTTTGATGCTGGCATTGAACACCAGGCCTCATGCATGTACTCGGTCTCTGAGCTACAACTCCAGCCCTGTGATAGTTCAATCTTTTCCACATAGATGCATCTGGCAAATTTTTTCTAGGTTGATAATTTTTGCAAGAATGCTCCCAAAATCTTGAATAATGGAAGGGATGAATCAAACCAAGTTACGATATATGTATATATGGAAATGTTGCAACAAAACCCCCTGTATAACTATCATATACGAATAAAAAGTTTTAAAAAAAGAATATTCCCCAAAACTAATCAATAAGCACATCTCCTCTTCTTAGTTTGCTTTTGTGTCTGTGTGTGTGTGTGTGTGTGTGTGTGTGTGTGTGTGTGTGTGAAAGCAGGAGAATTTGAGACAGGGTATAACTGTGTAGCCCAGGCCGACCTCCAATTAGTAATTCTACTGTCTCAGCCTCCCTAGTACTTGGATTACAGGTGTGTGCTACCATGCCCAGCTCAGTTTTGGTTTTATCTCATGGGTCCGGATATGATAAATTATTGAAACAGAATTAACTATTGAAACAGAATCTGTTTTTTTATGCTACTGTTTTTTCTATGTCTGTAATACT